AGGGCTTACGAAAAAGCCACAAGCTCCGTCTTGTTTGTATTTCCTAATACTGTGAGTGTTCCTTAATGCATGCATAGATATACATTTATCATTATAGCGATAAACTCATCTGTTTGATCAAGCGGTGTCATCGAATGTTGTGTCTATTTGTAATTCAAAGCCATCACAGTTATGGACTCGTTATTGAACGCCATATTACTGCCGTTGCTAGGGAAGTTTTCAGTTGTGTTCAAATACCAATACTAGAAATCACAGCGGCCAATCAGAGGAAAGGTTGACCTCATACTGCAATTAGCCAATAGAAATTGAGAGCAAAACCGGGCAAACGGCTGAAAGAGTGGGAAAACGCTGGTGTCCAAGGCCTGACTGGGTTTAATTTGCGTCTGATTAGTTTTAACGCGAGGAAAGCAAAATCAAGGTAATCCCAATCTAACCGGGAACAATTATCTCTCCATACTTCAGTCGCGGGGTGTGATCCAAACCTACAACTGATGAAAGCTAAAGGAAAGACAGCGTTACATGCAGCTGCCGCGGGAGGTTACGTCGACATAATTGCTTGTCTGAGACTGGTAATGACAAAAAGAATATTGCTATAAACGTCTCATGTTAATAAAGTTATCCACCTCGAACTGGGAACTTTTTTAACGCAGTGCGTAGATTTGAAGCTCAAGAACATGTTTGGATGCAAAAGCAGAGGCACCTGTGTAAACTAAGTTTTAAATCTACGGACTGCGAGTTGATGCAAAAATTATCAGAAATAGTGCAATTTACTTTGCTACTCTATAGTTTACTGTGCTAGTTTCTGCCGTTAAGGTAACTCACCTTCTTGATCGACCGGGAAAGATTCTCAAGAAGTGTGTAGTTACTTGGTCACTGTGCTATCAAACAAATTATTCCCTTAAAAATAGAAACGTTCCCTTGAAAGTAGAATGCAAGTTTGCTAATCGCCAGGCACTTGTTCTCCAGCTGCGTTAGCTGGAAGAAGGATTTTTTTTGTCCAATAAGTTGTGAATGTTGTTAAAAAAGACTCAATTTCTTGCCACGATATTTTTTAAAGAAAAATTATGAATTTAATGAGGCTGAGGTTTTTATTTTTTAGGCGGGATGTGACTTAAATCTCGTAGACTATGAAAACCGAACACCAATTGTAAGTAGCTGGCAATGCTTAATCTCCGTTAAATTGCAAGTAGTAGCAAAAAATGATAATTATATTTTAAAAAAGTAACAACAAGGAAGGTAAAATGCCTGTTTTCTGTTTCTCCTTTTACTCGTTTGCGGACCGTAATTTTGGAAGGAGTGTTATTTTTATTTAGCATCTTAGGGATGATACGTTTTGTTCCTATAACTGTTGTGACTGCTTTCTTAATTTCAAGTTTCTATCAAAGTAACTCTCTTTCTGTGATAGTTCGATGCAGTCAGTAACCACAAAGTGAAAGCCATCGAATACCTCGTTGATTGTGGAGCAGTTTTGGGAACCAAGGTAGGACTAGAGGCCTGTTGGAAGAAGAACATTCAAATGTTGCCAATGCCACCGCTATTACGAACTGTTTGCGGTGTTACCGATAACTCCATTGATGTTTATTTTATAGGATACTAAAGGTATGACATGTCTACATTTGGCTGCCCGGCAGGGGCACACGGACCTGATAAAATTATTACTTAAAACAGGAAAATTCGATATAAACGAAAAGGTGAGGAATATTCAAGCAGTAGTAAAATAAGGAGGCGGCGTGGCCAAGTGGTTAGGGTGTTGGACTTTGTACTCCAGTGTCCCAGGTTCAAAACCTCCACCCTGCCACTTAGTGGATTTGTTCTCGGTTGCCCCTAGTTCAACTCCTCGGCTGCGCTCTTTAAATAGCCCACTGGTCTGTCTCCTGCCAGTGGGGATTTTTAAGCACTTAGTTAGTTTTCAATGTGGCTAAAAGGCCCTAATGGGGAGCTTAAATTTGCGTATTTATTTATTTAGTGAATGAAATCTTTTTAAGCAAGTATTATAATAGTAATAATAATAATAGCTTGCTAGGCCGCCTTTACATTTGGCCTGCGGCACCGATGGACATATTTTCTTAGAACACTCCCAGATATAAAGACCTACTAGAACCTTTAGAACGTGCCCATTGCTGATGCCTTAATACCGTCGATAACGGACCATCATTGCACAACTCTGAGCGAAAGGGACCTCTTGGCACTGCCAGCTAGACTGAGTGGGCTTGGAATTATAAATCCAAGCCAGGATGCAGATGTACAGTACCAAGCGTCAATGAAGACTACAGCGCCACTAGTCGAGAAAATTGTTTCACAAGTCCATGAAACATTAGACGATGCCGTTGTTAGTTAATTACAGCAAAGTGTGCGAAGAGGGAAAAACGAAGTGCTTCGAAAAAGACTGAATGACATCAAAAGCTCTCTTACTCTGAAGACACAGCTCGCTGCTGAAATTGCTTCTGAAAAAGGTGCATCTAACTGGCTGACAATCATACCGATTGAGGAAATGGGCTTTACTCTGAACAAGGGCGAGTTTCGAGATGCTATAAAGCTCAGATATGACTGGGAAATCGCCGACAAGCCATCTAGCTGCATATGTTGCGATGTCTTTAATGTTGATCATGTCATGGTCTGCAGGTGTGGCGGCTTCATAATACAGCGCCATAATGAGCTAAGAGATCATGCTTACCATGGTCTGCAATGATGTCGAGATTGAGCGCGTCCTCCAGGAGCTCACAGTAGAGTCGTTGCCAAGCGGAGCTAACAGAGCTCCTGACGCTCGCCTAGACATCTATGCCAGAGGCTTTTGGGAAAGGCAAAGGTCAGCGTTCTTTGACGTACAGGTATGCTACCCCGACGCTGATTCCTATAGAGACCTGGACCTCAGGCAAATATACAAGCAGCACGAGAACGAAAAGAAGAGATTGTGTACGCAAAGAGTGATGGACGTGGAGTAGGGAACATTTACACCATTAGTCTTTACAACAACAGGCGGAATGGGAGAAGAGTGCAAGAGATACCATAACAGGCTGGCAGAGCTAGTCACAGCAAAGAAAGGGGAGGACTATGCCACCACTGTCTCTTGGATACGTTCCAAAGTTTCCTTTGCCATCCTTAGGTCGGCCCTGCTTTGTCTTAGAGGGTCAAGAACAGTTAAAAGAACAATTAAAAGTAATGTTCAAGAAGCGGACTTTGAATTAGATAGATGCCTGGCCAAAATCTAGGTCCTGCAATTTTTATATCTTTTTCTCTTGTGTGTAAGATATAGTGTCATGGTTTATCGAGTGTATTGAAAATATATTCGATTGTAAATTATGTAAATGCTGAAACGTTCTTTTAGCTTGCCTGATCCTATAAGTGATTGCTATTATTAAGAATTATTTTGGTTTGAAAGCTTCAGTCATTCTTATTTAAAGAATTATTATACCTGGATTTTGAGCATTGTTCATTGAATTTATAGATTGATTTCACATAGTATTTAGGCTTAGCTTTAGAATCAAGTTGTGTAAAAATATTAGATAATTTTATTGGGTTTTAATAGGAAAAATAAAGGATTACTGTATTATATGTTATTATTAAATTGTGTTCAAAAATTTGTAAATAACAAGATATATGGTTTAAAATTGTAAATAATTGCTATCATTATTATTAAACAAAGCGGGCCAATTTTTATCATAATTTTTGTAAATACTGTTAGTGATTATAGGGAATAAAGGTTTATGTTTATATTTATTGTTATTATTCAAAAAGTAGCAACTTTACATAATCAAGAAAATGATAAATATAGCTATTAGAGCAACATATTACGTCTTTAGTTGTAGAAATAGGAATTGGGACAACCCAGATTTGATGCAATTTTGATTTTTGTGTGTCGAAAAAGCCAATCTCAAGCAGCATTTGTAAATTGCCTATGCGTAGTGAGATTTACAATTGTACATTTAAAAACACAAATAAAGTTTCCATTATTTAAAATGGGGTCGATTACAACTCGATATTTGGGAACCAACGGTGAGCTGACAAGCTCGTACTGAAGGATGAGGAGTCTTATCACACTACAATTACATGGATCAGAACATTGCTCTCCATTGAGATATTAAGATCGCTACACACAAGTGTAAGAGGCACAACGATACCCTTTTACAAGATAGGCGACTTTATCGACGATTGCCACCTAAACGTAAACGAAGCGTGTATGAATAAAGCGTGACTGAAGCCTGTTATTGTTATTGTCATTGTCATTGTTATTGTTATTATTATTGATATTGTTATTGTTGTTGTTTTTAAAAATCAAAACCTTTATTCACTGTAATCACTAAAAGTATTTACAAAAATTATGATAAAAATTGGCCCACTTCGTTTAATAATAATGATAACAATTATTTTCAAATTTAAACCATATATATAATTATTTACAAATTTTAAAAGAATTAATATTAATGTTCACGATTGAGAACTGATTACAATATATGAGAAAAGAGAAAATTTAGCATTACTAAATAGGAAAAACTCTTAAAATATAAAGACCTAAAATTATGAGTGCAGATGTAGACCAGCTACAGCGAGGGTGAAGTCTTCTGAGACCTCGCGTGATTTAAACGGAACTCTAGAACCTCTCACGCATCTGTGTACAGTTCTTAATATAGCAAATGAAAGTTGTATTCGTAGCCAGGAAATGACGCTGGCGTAGGGTTCATTATTCTTGTTCGAAAGCTTATTTGCGAGGGTTCTTAAAAAGTTCTGACAGACAAGTCCCATGCTTCCATTTGTACCAAACACCAACGGTGTAAAAGTTCCCATTTCCATATCCATCACTCTGGTTGTATTTCCTCTTCTCGTTTTCTTGCTCTTTGAAGATCGTAGCTGTGGACTTGCCCTGGTTGGACCTAGAGTTAACATGCGTTACACGTACGTCGAAAAATGCTCCTCAACTTCTTCGGGAAGAGGCTCCGCTCGCCCGAATAACGAAGGAAGAAAAGAAGGGTGAATCACTTCTTCCATGAGGTCCACTCGCTCTTCAGACGATTCTATGGTGTGCAAGTAA